TTTCTTTTTCGTTTTCACACGTCGTTTTGTGTGGGCGCCGTTTTCTTTTTTTTTTTTTTTTTTTGAGAATAGGGCCCAGTGCCCAAGGCTGATATTACCAATATGAATATTGAGGCCGGGGTCCTTACAGTCTACCCGGAGTGTCAAAAATGAAAGTTGCATCTAGGAATCGGCAACACTTACGGATCTGCAATGACACCGCTAGATATAGGGAGGGACCACCGCTCAGCATACACACTAAGCCTCGCCACAAGGAACCCGATCTCGGCCGTCATCCGCAGCCAAATACAAGGATCCGACCACCTCCCTGTCACTGCATGGACCTGACCGCCTCCCGGTCATAAGTTTGGAGGTACTAATCAACGCCTTTACAAGAAAGACAAACACCGTGATGGCGGCGAAAAACAACCCGCCTCATGTGCGCGATGATAAAACAACACAACCACAGCCATCAGGGGCGAACAAAAAGGCGCCCCCCGAGGATGTACCTGCCCCCTCCTCCGGTTTAGCAAGGCAGACCACAAATGGAGGGTTGCTATTGGGGCAGGGTGGAATTTCGTCGCGCCACAAAAAAACACTACAAAGCTACAACCCGATCCCTGACCATGCTGGCAGAGGGCAACGCGGACAGGCATCCACCACATGGAGGGACAAAGTGGCAACCCCTGTGAAGGAATCTGCAGCTGCCTCTGCCCCCTCCTTCTCGTCGGACGGAGCGGCTAAGCCACCGCCGCAATTGATTACCGCTCTCTCAGCGCCTGGACGAACTGACCCGCACAGATCCTCCGAACTCGCCTCCATGGTTGCTCTCAAGAGTCACCTGATACAACAACTTTATGTTGAGCCGGAAAGGAAATACCAAGTGAAAGAAGGTTATATATACCCGCATTCCGTCTTCTCACCCCGCGCCCGGGCTACAAGAGGCGCGATCTATACTCAAAAGGTGGTGCAGTACCGCTTTCAGCCTGCGCAATCGGCAATCCCCGTAAACGAGAAAATCAAATGGATTACAGAAAAGCTTAGGATGATAAAGGCGGATCAACAACTAGTGAATGAGCACTTCCTCGTAGAAGTGGACAGCCCGAACAGTGTAACAATCGTCCCACTCTACCAGACAGACAAACAGCTCCTTTTGCGAAACAAACAGTTGCAGTTTAGAGGACGGCACGTGCAACTCACTGACTGGTCCCCGGCTGATCCACAATCGGCTGATGAAAAAAGATAACATCTTATGAAATCGAATTTCTGGGTTGAATTCTGATTTGCACCACTCTGCGTGCAAGGTGCCATTCTGGCTCACTTGGAGGACATCGCCCATGTCAAAGGTTACATCACCGACCTGCCCCAATTTCTGGGGAAGAGAGATGATCCATTGTTGGTCGCAGTGGATTGGGACCCTCAATACCCCTTCCCACTTAATGAGGACAAGAGGTACGCTCTCGGAGGTAAGGAGTTTTCCTTTCCGGTCAGCCACTCCTAAGATCCATGGTGCTATGCTTGCAAACAACGAGGGCATCTGTGCTCTGACGAATCCTGCCCAAAAAACGGTCGCAAGATGAAGATCAAGGGACTCGTCACCCCTCACCACACAGACGAAGAGTGGTGGTATCCGGAGGAGCCGGGGCTCTGGGGCTGGATGTTCAGGGCCTACGCCGACGAACGCCCCGGGAAATGGATATGGCAGGGGAACGGCCGTCCACTGACATTCCCATCGGGAGCTGAACTCATAATTACAGACGATCGCATTTCAGATGATCGCAAGCAAAAAGGTGAACGGGGGTGCTCCCCAGAACCCCCGCAAAATAGACGCAACCGCTCCTGATCTCTGCACCCCCCACAACAGTGCGACAACGGCGGGGGTGACATACAGACACGGGAAAAAGACAGCTATGGAAATAAACAGAAACAGCAGGGTGTCGTCTGAAACTTGCCACTGCCTCCACCAAAGTCGGCTAAGTCGAGCCCCGCTCCCCCCCAACAGTTGTACGTACCTAAACCAAAAACACAGTCTTCTGCAGGACAGTCGCACGCGGAGAAGACTGAGAAGCCTGTGCAGCAGAACCTACAGGCTGAGCAACAGGTTGTCACCAAACAGCCGCACGCGGAGAAGATTGGTAAGCCTTCGCAGCAGGACATACAAGTTGAGCAACAGGCGGTTGCCGAACAGTCTCGCGTGGGGAAGACTGATATGCCTTCGCAGCAAACAACATAGGCCAAGCAACAGGCTGTTCCTCAACACGGCCACATGGACAAGTCTCATGACCCTTCACAGCAGAATACACAGACTAATCAACTGGGCCAGGCTGAGAATACTCTGGGACCAACTGTGAATGCTCTGGCCGCAACTGTGAAGGCCAATGTAGATGTTACATACCCAGAGGCAGATCCGCACAAAGAGGAACAGGTACGATTGAGGGCACTGGTAACGACGGGATCCCGGGGACCTCAACCAACAGAAAGGACAGCTCTGGCCAGAAAACAACCCAACAAAGAGAAAGGAAGAGAGACCCCTCTGCCTCAGCAAAAGGGCCCGACTACAAATGCCAATGTGCCTCCTGCACCCCGCTCAGCAGCACAGGGTCTGGGAGGCGGGGGACGGGAGGACATTGCCGATGACACAAGCAAGTTCCCGGGCCCGACTGCAGATGCAAATGCGCCTCCTGCACCCCGCTCAGCAGTGCAGAGTCTGGAAGGCGGGGGACATGAGAACATTGCCGATGACATATGCAAGCCCCCTCCCCACTCTGTCCCGCAGGGTGCACGAGATAGTGGACGACAGCATATAGTCGATGACATAAGCAAACACATGGCCTCGAAATGCACTGTCGATCCCGAACAGCAGTCTCGCTCCCCCGCCCCTGCCCCTGGCCCCTTGCCCGTGCGGGACTATGAACCCTCAAAGTCTGGTGGGAAAGGGGCACGGGCCAACACGCAGAAACAAAAAAAACAGGGGAAACAACAGCAGCGGGGCGGGGGTAGCGACACACACAACAGACACAATAGGGAGCAACAGCAAACAGACACCCCGGGCCAGCATGATGCGCATAGCAGGAAGTTGGGCCCGACTGCCAGCCCTGAGGTGGGAGTGCCCATCCACCGGGAACCCCTCCAACTGACAGAACCGCATCTCGATGCACTCCCTCAACCGCAGACAGCGGGATGTTACCTGCAAGAGGGGAAAGACAAAGGCACCAGTGCTGCTGTGCACCACACCGACGAACGACTGGAATCTGAACGATCTGAACGGCTCCTGCTGCAGGGGGGCTCCACAGCCACTCACGAAAGCGCAGGGGGTAGGCTGAAACCCCGGGCAATGTGGCTCAGAGCCAATTCCTTGTTGAGCAAGATCAAAGATGCGGCCTTTTCCCAACATCGGGAATCGCCGAATGCAACGCAAACTGTCTCAGAACCCTGTGACACACTGCAGTTGCATTCTTGTCCGCAACAATTGCCCTCCCTCGACATGTCGTCAACCGGTACTGACCACATGACAACCGTTATATCGGAAGTCACGGGGGAAGTTAAGTTCATACCCCCTCAGCAGCCCCAACACTTGGAGCGCGCACGGTTGAGGAAGCCTGAGCATGAGGACTCTTGAGGAGGATACTGAAGTTGTCACGCCAACCACGGTACGGTCAAGGGAATTGGGGCTGCGACCACAGTCACATCAACCAGCCGGTCAGCAACAGCCCCACGCGCCCACTACTGTCCAACAGCAGCACAACGAATCGCAGCTGCAACACCGACAGCGAACCCACGATGCACAACCGCAAATACAGCAGCAAGTGCAACAGTAAGAGGCGCAACGGCACTGCAACGCTGCACAATCGCAAATGCAACTACACGATGCACAACTGCGAACACACCAGCAACCGCAGATGTTGGTCCGGTGGCAACAACAGCAAGACCAGCAGGCACAACCGATGCTGGAACAACAACCGCCTGAACAAACACAGCAAGCACAACAACAACTCGACCAAGAGATGCAGGCACGGCAGCAGCATCACCAGCAGTAAGCCCACGTGGCACAACTGCAAATGCGGCAACAACTGGATCAAGAGATGCAGGCACGGCAGCAGCAGCACCAACAAATTGAAGCACAAATGCCGACGCAGCAACAACAAGACACCCGGCTGCAGCAGCAATGCTTGTCACAACAACAACAGCAATATGAGCTCCAGCAACAGAAAATGCATGTGGCGCAATTGCAAACGGTGCAACAACAGCAACAACAAATTGTAGTGGCGCAATTGCAAACGGTGCAACAACAACAATGCCTGCACGCGCACCCACAACCTCAACAATGCGTACAACTGTCAGCACCGGCGCAACACCAGCAACCACAACCCCTGCCGATGCAGCACCAGCAATGCCTGCACGAGCAAAATCATGAGAAGCAGCAACAGTGCCAACAGCAACTGCAAGCGGAACTGCATCTGCATCCGAGTTGCGCGGAGGGGCCGTCCCAACTCCAGCAACATACACATCAACATACAGATTGTGATGATCAGCTCCAACTTCTCCTACAAATGCACCTGGCACAGTACCACCATCAGCATCACCAGCAGAGGGTGCTGCAACAACAACAAATCCTGCAACATCTTCATCTACAGTGGCAGCAACAACTGTGCTGTCAACAACAGCTCATCCTGCAACAGCAACAACAACAGTTGCAAATGTTCTGGCACCACGAGTATGAGAGGCAGCAACAGCAGCACATCCTTACACTGAACGGCCGCCAACACGTTGAGGTCGTGCCCCCGACAACAGAGGAGGACGTCCAGGTGTTGCAAGATATGGACACCTCGACCCAGGATTGGTGCGGCAGGACCAGGACCCCGGCCCCATCACAGCTGACATTGAAATGACCCAGGCCCCGGTCCCGCCCCTGCAGGATAGCCTGCCCCCCCCTCCCCCCCCCCTGCTCACTGCCAACCATGAGGTTAAACAAAAATTGGCCTTCTTGACTGAATGGACCCTCACCAAATGCTTTTCAATGGCACCAGAGAGATCACACGACAAGCCCGATTCCAAGTACTGGGTGCAGGCTAAGGAAGTGCTGATGTTCAGTCCTTGGGTACTGGTCACTGTAGAAAAATACAGGGACATAGCATCGATTGACTGGATGGATGTGGAAGCAACGATTGTCCTGGTCGTTAACGAATTCTTGGACAAAATGGAGCAGTACGCAAACATGCAATATGATCAGAAACGGCCCAAGCAAAGTTCAGACTGCTCAGACCCCCATGAAGAAGTTTTTCTCCATGACGGGCTGGCATGGCCTAAGCTCCTGGTCCAGGAGCTCTGCACCACCCTGCACGGCACGTCCGCTGCTGCTAAGCCCATCCAATTGCCGGAAAGCCAGAGCTAGCTCCTCACATAGGAGGGAGATCCACGACAAGCGGAACAATCAACGGTGCAAATATCACGAACAAACATAACTAGGGCGCATGTGGATCACAGTCGTCATCTGCGCAAAATCGAAATACTGCATGATGATGAGGACGAGAATGACACAATACTGTGCCTAGATGAAGACGCGCTGGATGAGCCCCCCCCCGGGAAACTGAGGGATCGGGTGAGACTCCAAAACCCTGACGACTCCCCGCCGCAAGTGCCGCCCGCCGCCCGGAGTCATTATTTTCCTGCTGGTCAGGCAGCACGAAGGAAGACAGTGGATATTGGGGCTCAGACCGCCCCCAGACCGGCCCCCGCAATGACCCCCGGACTTGAATGGCCTTACTGTGGAGGGGTGGAGGGGCAACCCGTTCACTGCCGTGATTCTCAAACGGCTTAAATATTGGCGTCGAGAGACGCAGGTAGAAGGCATTCTGGGGGCTGTGCTGCTGCATTCGCTGTCCTTCCCGGTGGGCATTATTCCTGTAATACTGGCATACAGCTAATGAACTTCAAAGCCGAATCTCGCAGCACACAGACCGGCTACACATGGTTTACCTACCTGGAACTCATGGACCTCTCCGCTGATCGATTCAGGACCAACTTCGCCTGGACGCTCAGTAGGGTGCTGCTCTTCATGCAAATCTTCTTGGAGGACAATGTGCTTGAAGAGCACAACCACTAGGATGACCCGCCGTTTGTCCTTCCAATAAAAAAGTTGGACTGAGCCATCAGTCGCTCACCAAGGAAGAACAAGCATAATCGGTTCTGCTCGCACAAACGTGAATACACAAAACCCGATGCCCATGAGCTACTCAATGTCCACTCCCCCACAGTCCCCTCTGCCACTCCGCTCCCCCCAACCCCCCCAATGCCCCCCCCCTCCCCCTGTCTTCCCCCCGATCAGAAGGCAGCCCCAATGGGCGGTGAAATTGGCTCGCACAGACATAGATATCCGCTCGCTGGATGTTAATGGCCTCATACAGGCCTCACAGGCAAAAAGAATGTTGTCTGGGACATGCTAAGAGTCCCGGACAAGAGGGCGTGGCCGGATGCAATCTGCGTACAAGAAACGCACTTGCAAGACACGCCGGGGCATGCATCTAAGGCCAAAGCCATATGGCCATACACGTCTTTCGCGGCACACGCAAAAGATAGAGCATCAGCTGGTGTTGCCATCTGACTGCCTCCCTCCTCGAAACTCAGGCCATTGGACATGGAATCAGACAAAGTGCGTGGTAGATGGGTATCCCTAAAACTGCGGTACGAGGAAGACGAGTTCTATCTGGTTAACGAGTATGCACCCAACGACCCTACATCCAGGGTCGAATTTTGGCTTGCTCTCCACCACTAACTGCCGGACGATGCCCCTATCATACTCGCAGGTGACCTTAATACCGCGCTCGATCTGGCGCTGGACCGCAGATCTGCGTCTCCACGTCGGGACCAGCCATCCTCATCTCCAGTCCCCCCAGGCCCGGACGTGCTCGTCCTTAGACAGATTATGGCAGACAGGCAACTGGAAGACGCCTATCGGCTGTTGCATCCTCTCCAAAAAGCTTACACCTGCCTGTCATCCTGAGGCGACCAGGGCCTGACCAACTCACGCATTGACCTTACACTGGTGTCCAAAGACTTGATGGGCCTAGTCACTATGGCGGAAATAACAACTATCAACCCATGCAAGTCCTTTGCCCACAGGATGATTACATTGGGGCTTTCATTCCATAATCATATCCAACGAGGACCCGACTTCTTCAAACTGAAAGCCTCTCTGCTCCCCCTCTCCAAATTCAAAGACTTAATCAAGGACTTTTGGGAATTCTGGCAAACCCAAAAACCCGATTCGGGAAAGAGGGTAGAGTGGTTCAACAAAGGTTTGGCGCAGCTGAGGGAAAGAGTTAAAAAGTTTTCCATCCAATATGCCAGGGATCGAAAAGCCTGCCTTGAGAGCCTCATGCCAGACCTTGAGGAATGGGATGAGGAGCTGATGAGAGACCCCCTGTGCCACCCCTCCTATGACAGATTACAAGATGCCCGCGACCGCCTCCAGGAGTACCTCGACCAACAGGCGCAGGCGTGGAGAGTGCAGGCCAAAATAAAGAAAGAACACACTGATGGAACAATGGCGAAGGCCTTTTTTAACAAGGCTAGAGCGAGGGTCAGGGCAAACACGGTTCCGAGACTTAACCATCCGCTTAACAGCAACGCCCCACCAGCAACTAACGTGTACACAATTGTGGATTACGCTGCTAGGTATTATCAGAACCTCTTCACGTCTGAAACGCCCAACAAGCACCCAAACGAGGTCCACCAAGCGAGACAAGCGTTGCTGCAGTCCATCTGCTCTCGCCTAACACAAGACCAAAGGGACACACTCGACATGCCCATAACCCCTGACGAGGTATGGGAAGCCCTGCAAGGTATGGAAGATGAGAAGACACCAGGGATCGACTCCTTCCCTAAGGAGTTCTGGGCGCTTCTGGGACCTCTTTCGCCAAGACATCATGGAGTTCATAAAAGCCATACAAAAGGAGGGATCCTTCGGAGGGATGATTGGTCAGGGGATTACAACCCTCCTTTACAAGAAAGGGGACAGAGAGAACATAAGGAACTACAGACCCATCACCCTTCTCCCGGTCCCCTATAAACTGGTGGCCAATGTCCTCACCAATAGGTTGCTACCCCTAATGAACTTGCTGATTCACCCGGACCAAACTGGTTTTATGCCAAACCGCAACATCCAGGACAATATCCTCCTGGTCAACGAAACCATTAAATATGCCCGCTAGAAGAAAACCCAAGCGACGATCCTCTTCATAGACTTCGAAAAGGCGTACGATCATGTTGACTGGGACTTCCTCGATATGTGCCTGGCTAGGATGAACTTTGGTCCGACTTTCTGTCAATGGGTGCACTTGTTACACAGGTCGGCCACGACTAACATAATGCTCAATGACCATCTCTCACCGTCGATCCGCCTCCAGAGATCGGTGCGCCAAGGCGACCCCATTGCGTTGTTGCTATTCGTTATTGTCATGGAGGCCTTGGCATCCATGATCCAATCTCACCCTCAAATCAGCAAAGTGCCCATCCCAGACATACCCCGCCACCTCATACCTGTCACATCGCTCTTTGCAGACGACCTCACTGTGCTCATACGTGCCGACCCGGCCAGCCTTCAAGCCCTCACCCAAGTCATACACCTCTTTTCACTGGCGGCGGACATGAAGGTCAACTGGGGTTCCAAGACAGAGGGTTGGTGGCTCCACCCTCAAGGAGTGCCCTCCCCGCGCGAACCGAGTGTAGCATGGGCCCGCAAAGACGACGCCATAAGGATTTTGGGGGTGAGATTGACTGTGGTGGGTCCCCCGGCCGACCGCGGGGATATGTTGGTTGATATGGCAGTGGACCGGCTGGCCAAATGGGAGGGGCTGCACACCTCACTGGTGGGTCGTGCTTTGGTGATTAACAGCGCCATCCTCGCGGCCATCTGGTATAAATTGGCAGTATGACCACTAAACAAACAGCAGCACGCCAGACTTAAGAAGGTGCTTTCAACATACCTATGAAAAAATGTTGTTAAAACTCAACATTGCCTCAACAGGGTGAAATGGGAAGTGGTCACACAGCCTAGGGTTAAAGGGGGGTTGGGGATCCTGGACCCTCAAGGAGAGAGCGATGCACTCATCTTCAAAGTCCTCGTCAGATTGCTAATGGGGAATGACATACCCTGGGAACCGCTGACCTGTCTGCAAATAGCCAGCCTGGCCCCCCAATCACAGGTGCCTGGAATGGTGCACCCATTCCAGTAGCTCACGAACAACCACTGGACAATCCCGTCGCCCCCAAAGTAACCGCAGCCAGTGAACCCGATACACGCAGCAAAGTCGGACATGTTGTTGGACTCACTCTGGCCCCATATGCTCAAGCTTTGGAGGCGAAAAGGGCCGCAACAGAAACGCCCCCCAACAGGTGGCACGATATTTGGAGGCAGCCTCTCTTTGGAAACCCGCATATCCTCCAAGAAACGGGCAGCCCATTTCCCCTCACAACAAGCTCTCCATGGCTGAACTGGGCCAGAAAGGGTGTGTTCACAGAGGGAGACTTGTGGGACCCGGTTAGTGGTGGTTGGGCAACCCCTGACCAGTTGCAAAACAAACTCAAGCATGTTAAACATGTTGACGAAAAAGCTGGCCTGCTGAGAGAGGCCCTCCCTCTCGCTTGGCGCCTTACCCTGCAGAGGGGCCCGACGGTCGAGAAAGACGATTGGGTGATTAGATATACAGACCTTCCCCACCCTCTTGTCATTTTTAAAGTCAAAGAGAATGTGGATGGGGCCTGTGCGTTGGAAGCCTACGAGCCCCAGATACCGGGGGCGAGGTTCTCCAAACTGACAAAACATGAGGACCTCGATAGCACACATGGCTGGACTGCTTTGATGCAGGTGAGGGTGGTAGGGGATTTACAAAATGGCCACCATGTGTATCAGCCAACTGCGCCCATAGCCAAACTCCCCTTTGACCCGGCCGAGTGGGAGTGGCCTGGCTCTCGACCTATGCAAATATGGGACTATACAGTTAAAGGCGGATACAAAGCTTCATGACAAGACCAGGCAATCAACAAAACAATAGCGGACAGATGGGCGGGGGACTCGCCGCTCGAACCAAAACTGCCACAATCCTTCACCTGGTCAAGATTCGCTAAGATCATGCCAACAAACCACAGATCTCTCCTGTGGCAGATCTTGCACCGCTGCCTCCCCACCCCGGACTGGCTTGTCTCCAGAACAAACCTGGAACAGAAAGAGGAACTGTCCCCTATCTGTGCGTACTGCAGGGGAACTCAGATGCCGGCCCGTGCGACCCTCGAGCACTGCCTGCTAGCATGTCCAATGGTCACCCAGCTGTGGCAGTGGTGGGACGCTGCCTTCCACTCCCTCTCGGGATATCACATCCCCTGGGACCTTGGCCTCCTGCTCCTGGGGAACAACACCCATCTGCTGGCACACTGGTCTCCATTCGCGACCAACCTCTTCTCGTACACACGGTTGCACATCCTGATGTTGGCATGGAGGGCCAGATGCTCCTTTGAAAGAAAGGAGCACCAGTTCGGCCTGCAGCAGGCACAGCAAGCTATTGAAGAGCAGATCAGGGCCAAGACCCGAGAGGCATGGAAGACCATGAAACACGACCTTCTCATTGAGAAGGAGCCCGTCGCCCAGCAAGCAATCCGAGACTCCTACACGCAGATCTGGCAGGATCCTAACAGAATATTTTCTGAACTGGATGCCTCCCTCAGCCGTGACATCAAATGGAAACCATGGAGGGGCACGGAACCTGGATGGCAAAGGAGACCCTTCTCCGAATTCCGGGTCCCTTACCTCCAACCCAACTTTGTCCTCCTCCCGCCCCCTCTGTCATAACACGTCTAAAGCCGCCCTCCCACCCCTCCCACCTCTCCCCCCCCCCTTATCTTCCCCTTC